AGCAGGACCATCAAGAAAAGCCTACAGACGCACAAAAAGATGCTCAACATTGCTAATTATTAGAGAAATGTGGATCAAAACAGCAATGAGGTATCACCTCACACCGGTCAGAATGGCTGTCATTGAGAAGTCTACAATAATAAATGCTGGAGAGGGTGTGGAGAAAAGGGAACCCTCCTACACTGTTTGGTGGGAATGTAAATTGGTGCAGCCACTATGAAGAACAGTATGGAGGTTCCTTAAAAAACAGAGCTACTGTATAATCCGGCAATCCTTCCCCTGGGTATACATCCAGAAAAAACAAAAACTCCAATTCAGAAAGATACATGCACCAGTGTTCATAGCAGCACTATTTACAATAGCCAAGACATGGAAACAACAACACAGGTGCCCATACACACAGTGGAATATTACTCAGCCATAAAGAAGAATGAAATATTGCCATTTGCAGCAACATGGATGGACCTAGAGAATATTATACTTGGTGAAATAAGACAGAGGAAGACAAGTACTATATGATATCACTACACATGAAATCTAAAACATAATGCAGATGAGTCTATATACAAAACAGAAATAGACTAACAGATGTAGAAAACAAACATATGGTTGGCTAAGAAGATATTGAAAGAGAGAGAGACAAATTAGGAGTATGGGATTAACAGATACAAACGACTATACATAAAATATATAAGCGGCAAGGATTTACCATATAGCACAGGGAACTATATTCAATATCTTGAAATAATCTATAGTGGAATATAATCTGAAATATATATATATATAACTGAATCACTTTGCTGTACACCTGAAACTAACGCAATACTATAAATCAGTGATATTTCAATTTAAAAAAAAGCCACACATTTTTTCCCAGGCTTTTAGTACTTTGTTAAACTAAATGAAATTGATATGTCATATAATTTTGCCATTCTCGGTTAATCCAGCAATTTTTTAAATACCTTCTGCATAAGATATTCTTATCTTTCTACTTGAAAACTACACTTAGCCAATAAATGTAAATGGCCCAGTCATAGGCAGATCCTTGCTGAGGCCAAGTTTCCAGTCCCATCTATAGAACTACTTGGTTGCCATGAGCACATTCCGATTCCATTATTGACTTACTAGACCATGTTCCTGCATCTCTACATTAGAGTGACATTTTTATTCAGGATGTATACTGCTTCTTCTAAGTATAACTTCATTCAGGCAATGGTGGTATTCTTTGCATTTCTTTCAAGGGCAGCAAGTGAAACCAACAGACCATAAATTGGCCAGTTTGTACTATCATGCTTTTGGTATTTATGTCCTTGTCAAAAGGAGATATTACTATATTGCCGATACCAGGTAATTGAGGGGAAATATGAGTTAAAACTTTTAAAAAATTAATAAATTTTTATCTCTAGGAAAATTAGATTTCAGGTACTTTTATTGGGTTTCTTATAATCTGGGGTATTGCTGCATAATGTGTAACTGACCCATAGCAGTGAACGTAGACTTACTAATTCAAGGCTGAAGACTGTAGTCACTGGAACTTAGTAAAATAATTTAGGGTGATTCCTTATTTGTTTACTAAGTGAACTGGATTAAGGTCCAGTTGCTAACAGGAACTGTTTTAATATGCCTACTTAAGGGTAAAAATATAGAAATAGGTGCCTCAAAGCTTCATTTCCTTTGACCCTTTAGTAACTGTTTGACTTGGGTAAGTCACTTCCTTTTTTGACCCTGGTTTCCTTATCTCCGAAATGAGGGGTTGGGCTGCATTATCTCGGATGTCCCTTCTAGCCTTTACTGTGTTGTGTAGCCCTCATATAACGAAACAGTTATGTGCTGTTAGTTGTCCCAGCATCTAGCTCTACTCATGATTTTTCTGGCAAAGATAAGGAATTGAGAAGAGTGATCCAGACTCACTCCCATGTTGAAGTAAGACGTATTCTGACTGAGCTTCCCTGTGTTCAACTGTTACTTCTGTCTACAGTGCAGTGAACTGTTTATGCATAGGAATTATCCCTTTGATTTGACATTTAGAGTGTCAGACAATAGAATCTCACTCTATGTTGCCTAATGCTTGTCAAGAGCTCAGGTGCAAAAAAAATATTAATGGAGAATTGTTTGGAAGAAATGATGGCTATCCATCCCTTTAGCCTAGATACATATGATAAATAAGAGCTGTATACTAAGACCATGTAATTTTAGCCTTCTGTAAATTGCTTTTATGGAACTCCAAACTTCTGACATTTTCCATTGACCCATTTTGAAGTTGTTAGAAAGAACAGTCCTCCAAACTGTTTATTGTATTTACTGTCAGCGTGTCATCAAGGACAAAGAGTTCACCATGAGACACTTTTTGTTTTAATGAGACTTCATGGGAGAATACTTGTACTTCTAAGAAACTGGTTTGTTTTTATTTTATGGACATTGAATTCTGTTAACTCATGATGTCTATCTCTTTGCATTGGTTATTTGGAATCTTAGAGCCAGTTTTATGGCCCACTTCTCAATGAATGTTTGGTAATTTTGGAGCACATTTTCAGTATAATCAGCCTCATCTTATTTCTCCTTGATGGTGATTTTCCCACCTTTATCTTAATGTGTCTTTTGTTGTTGCCTCATTTTTTCTGGATTGAAGAGAGATTTAAAATAACTAAAGTTAAAATAGAGAGACGACTGGAAGGATGGAGAAGAATGAGTAACAGTGTTAAACAGCTGTTACATGATTTGCTCTGAATTATGCTTTATAACATTAGAGGCCACTTTAAGACTGTTTTTGATATAATGCCAGAATGTAGCCATGTCTCGTGAAAAAGTGTTGAATAACAGAATCACAGTAACATTTTGGGAACCAGAATATTTTACAGAAGGAAGCTATTTAGTACAATTTAGGGGATTTTATTTTATTTTTTAGATAACCTAAACAGTGATGGAAGAGAAAGTATTGATTATTGATACTATTTTGTACATTGATACTACCTTGTACAGTTTATCATATAAGGACCTTACTGCGTTAGCACTCAGGGCCTGCTTAGAGTTAGGAAGTCTAGATGTGTCCCCTTTCTTCCTGACACAGGAATTATGTTTAGAAGCATGCCATGCGACTCTCTCCTCTATTCCCTTGTACTGTTAGTACCCTGCCCTGGAAGGCTCTTCCCTCCCTATCCAAATCCTGTGTATTGTCCAAAGCTTCACTTGGATCCACCTGCTTCATATGGCCTTTGCAGAATACTCCCCCACGTTCCTCTCCCCTCTGTGAGCTCCTGCAGTGTGTTCAGTACCCTTTGCACTGCACACATCTGCACACGTTCATATTGCTGAGTATAGTTTCATGGATTAGTCTGGAAGACCCCAAGTAGCTCATGAGTTCTGTGACAGCCAACTAGGTCTTAGTCACATACCCAGCATGATACTGTACAGAGAGTAATTGCTCTAAACACTGCCTTGTGGTTTGCCCAATTCCTGGGACTCAACGTTGACTAGCTTGTCTTGCCCATTCTCAGGTTCTTTTTGTGCCAGATGCCAACTTTCCTTCCAGTACCTTAAGGTTATCATCATCCAGTCCTGGTGCTACTGTCTCTCCTTCATCATCAGATGCAGAATATGATAAACTGCCTGTATGTATTTCATTCACGCACTGAAGTTCATATTTCTCAGCCCTGGTTTTGAGTTATTGCAGAATTCTACATGTTATTTTTCACAAGAGCTCATCTGAAACTCTAATCCCTCGACAAAGAGGTGGGGTTAAGTAATTTGTCATTAGTTGAGATAAGAAACCTGTTCACATTTAAGGTCTTAAAGGCAGAAATACATGTCTTATTTATGTAGAAGTTAAACTCTCAATGAGACCAATAGTTTATTTGTACTACCTTACTCCTTTTTCTAAAGAATTTGAACCATGAGTCCAATATAAATTCTTTCATTTAAGGTATTTTCTAAAGACACTTGATGAGGCATTTTTATGGGTTCATACATATGTGCTTTTTAAAAAGCTTAGTTTGATTTGGGTGATATTTTTGAAGGTTGAAAGACATATGCCTTTTTTAATGTTCCCGTTAAATAGGAACAGGTTACTTACAGGGAACATAGATGGCTTGATTCAAATAAATGAATAATCTTTTGAAAAAGTGCTTCTATTTGATTTTGGAAATTTTTACTTTCTAAAGGATGCTGACTTAGCAAGAAAGGCCTTAAAACCCATTGAGAGAGTCTTATCATCCACTTCTGAAGAGGACGAGCCAGGCGTGGTAAAATTTTTAAAAATGAATTGTCGTTACTTCACCGATGGAAAGGTACATGGCTATGCAGTTTGTTTCCTTTGCTTGGAGTCTATGGAAAACTAAACTAGTTCCAAATTACTGAAGGCAGGCTATTTTAAAATATCTTACCCAAAGTTTCAGCTTTAAGATTTCACAACTGTCCATTAGTTTTCCCCTCTTGGATGCCTGGCATTTTGCTTTCTGAGGGAATAATCATCATCATGTTGAAATGCGATTCTTTGTGACCTTGGGTTTATTACTTATATTTCAGTTCTTAGCCCATAAATTGTTAGAGAGACAGTACAGAATGTGTTTAAGAGCAAATGCTGGAATCAGGCTCACTGAACTTAAATTCCAACTTTACCACCACTATCTCTGAGACGGTGGGCAAAGTATTTGAATTTCTTAAGCTTCCATTTTTCCTCATCTATAAAGTAGGAACAGTAATAAAATTTAACTAATAGGGTATGCTAATTAAAAGAAAATTCATGTGAAGAGCTTAACACCTAACCTGGAAAATGGTTAAGTTCTCAACCTGTTTGCCGCTAGAAATTCTGGTATGAAAAATGTCTGTTACATCGTGGTTTCAGTTTTTTTGGTTGTTGGTGTTTTGTGTAAAGAACAAATCTGACATTTTGTGAGCCTCTGAAGAAGGGGTAATATCGATATAAAGCGAATTCCTGTGCTCATAGTAGAGACTTCATGCCAGGTTCAAATGGTAGGAAAATACATTATTGATATGCACTTGAAACTTTTGCAACCAAGGCTAAGTAGTGCTGAAAGGCAAAACTTTTTGCCAAGGTGATCACTAAACTCATTAAGAGTATCAAAATAAATAACTTACCTAGGGCTTCCCTGGTGGTGCAGTGGTTGAGAGTCCGCCTGCCGATGCAGGGGACATGGGTTCGTGCCCCGGTCCGGGAAGATCCCACATGCCGCGGAGCGGCTGGGCCCGTGAGCCATGGCTGCTGGGCCTGCGCGTCCGGAGCCTGTGCTCTGCAACGGGAGAGGCCACAACAGTGAGAGGCCCGCGTACCGAAAAAAAAAAAAAAAAACTTACCTAAAGGGAGTTATTTATATCCTGCTGTCCCTGGTAGATAACATCCCTGTGGCCAACAGGGTCTACCATGTAAACTGACCAAGTTTCAGACTTTAAGTACCCACCAAGGTACTGTTCTTTGCTTTCGGTTTCCATAGTTTGGATATATTCACTTTTGTCTGCAAAAATTTCATACTCCTATTTGTGTCAAATTTTGCTGAATGTGGGCTTTCTAAGCATCTTAGAGCAAAATATTAGAAGTACAGCTGCTCCCCTAGCACAGTACCAGGCACCTGCTGGACAGGTAGTGAATACGTGCTGGTGGATTGTAGCGTACCCAGTTCTCAATTTGGAAGGTACCTGGGACAGCCCTTCTCATTTTACAGACAGGGAGTTGGCGAATCTGAGACATACATGTGAAACCCAAGATCCGACCACAATTGTACTATTGCAGCAGCCATGCTAGAACCAGGCTCAGCTGATTGCCACAGCGAGGCAAGCCTGTTTCTCTGCTCAGCACACCGCACCCAACGTTGTATTTCGTCAGCCTGTTTTTTCCAGCCTTCGTAGAGGGGACGCAATTGCCCTGTAGAATACCGTGGTTCAGAAGGTCAATGGAATGGCAACATAAGTTCATTAAAGCTGCTAGGGTGGTTGCATCATGCCTGTAGCGACTCTGTACTATCTTTTTCTTCAGGGTGTGGTCGGAGGTGTCATGATCGTTACTCCTAACAATATCATGTTTGACCCTCATAAGTCCGATCCCCTGGTCATTGAAAATGGGTGTGAGGAGTACGGCCTCATTTGCCCCATGGAAGAGGTTGTTTCCATCGCGCTCTACAATGACATCTCCCACATGAAGATCAAAGATGCCTTGCCATCGTAAGAGATCTTTCTTTGTTTACCAGAAAAAGGGGTATTGGGAGAATTAAATGCAACTAAAAAGTGAGGGCATTGGCAGGAGTGAGAGATTGTGTAGAGGTAAATTTGAAGGTAGAATACTTGTGCACTAAATTTTAAAAAAATAGAAAAAGGAGAGGAAATGGAAATGATAAGGTCAATAAGGAAGAGTGAAACATTCAAATCAAAAAATCACGTAAAAATGGTATTTCTTTGGCTTATTTTTCTGAAGAGCAATGCCTGTTCTTAATTTATGAAAGAATAAATGAAGTTTCTCTGAAAGAATTTGTCTGATTATCGATAAGAGAATAGTATTTTCTCTTTGGTTTAATTGGTAAGCAGAGTTACATTCTTCCTCATTCAAATTCTAGGATAGGCATCTTCCCAGCTCGTGTGTTTCCTTAATCCTGTGTGGAGAGAGATTTGCGTGGACGTGCAGAGGCACTGCCCCTGTAGCCACAATACCTTAAGTGGTGTGCAAAGGTTGTAATAGTAGTTTGTTTTGTGTCTGAAATGTAGGTGGATATTACTTTAGTCCTGATTACTTTTGCCTTCTAAAACTGAGTTGTTGTTTTTTTTTTAACATCTCTATTGGAGTATAATTGCTTTACAATGGTGGGTTAGTTTCTGCTTTATAACAGAGTGAATCAGTTATACATACACATATGCTCCCATATCTCTTCCCTCTTGGCCTCCCTCCCTCCCCCCCTCCCTATCCCGCCCCCCCAGGCAGCCACAAAGAACCGAGCCGGTTTCCCTGTGCCATGCGGCTGCTTCCCACTGGCTATCTACCTTACGTTTGTTAGTATATATATGTCCATGTCTCTCTCTCGCCCTATCACAGCTCACCCTTCCCCCTCCCCATATCCTCAGGTCCGTTCTCCAGTAGGTCTGTGTCTTTATTCCTGTTTTACCCCTAGGTTCTTCATAACATTTTTTTCCCTTAAATTCCATATATATGTGTTAGCATACGGTATTTGTCTTTCTCTTTCTGACTTACTTCACTCTGTATGACAGACTCTAGGTCTCTCCACCTCATTACAAATAGCTCAGTTTCGTAAAACTGAGTTTTTGATTTAAAGATGCTCCCCATGAAGAAGGGGTTTAAGAAAACTCAGAGAATCGATTCACTTGTAGGGATGATCTGACTCTTTCTGTCATTTTGTCAGTGTGCCTATTTCTGTATACTATATATGTGCTAGCAGCAAAACTCTTCAGAAACTCTCAGTGATAGCAAGGTAAAGGCAAAGCAGTGTGTCCAACAGAACAAAGGGAAGCTAGCCCCTTGGACCCAGGAAAACAAGGGAAGGTAACTAGGGAACTAACCCAGACACAGCATCCCTAGGGGTTTATGCCAGCAGGTTCCCCTGGGCTTCTACAGTCTTTAGCATCTGATCCACTAGCCCCTTACATGCCCAGCCACTGAAGGAACCACTGGAACATAATCACTGGGTAGTTTCCAAGTTCTGGCAGAAGTGCCTAGAAGTTTAGGAGGCAGTGTAGCAGGCCAGGCAGTCCTGCAGGATGATGCCTGGGTTTCCCTGGCTCTGCCACTTATGGCTCCACGACCTTCACGAGTGACTGAATCTTGAGCCTCGGTTTTCTCATCTGTAAAATGGAATTAATAGTATTCTTCAGCTTGCAGAGCTGTTACAAGATCTAAAAGCATTGACATACCAAAACTCTTAGATAATAGCCTGGTACCTAATAAGTATAGGCTGCTTATTTGAACCTTCAGTTCATATCTGAAACTCTAATCATTGTTCTGTGGGAATCTTTTATTCACGCAGAATGAGGCTTCTAATGCCTCTTAGTGCGCGTCTCTTGTGTGGCAAGGATATGAAGATAAGTGGGTCACGGCCCCTGTCCTGCAGTTTACTGGGTGCGACAGGTGGAGAGAAGTGGTAATTGAACAGCACTGTAGATACAGACGTGCACACGGCATTCCATGAGAACCATGTGAAGGAGTGTCCAGCTACCTTGGAATCTTAGATGAGGAGGAGAGGGAGTGAAAGAGTCACTTTTGGGAAGAAAGTGCGAACATCAGGTGACAAGAGGAAAGAAGATAAGAGTAGGTAAAGATACAGTTAAGTTTGGAAGTGGATGCACAGGCAGATAGGGGCATTTCTTGCCCAGTGATGGCTTCTAGTGGAGTAATACTGTTACACGTCTTCAGCTTAGGATGTTAAGTATTCTTTTAATAATAGGGAACGTACATTCTTACAGAAAGATTTCTCTCAATGTAAGATTGTGTTTCATGATCCGGGCCTAATGCTGTAGATGGGGGGAGAGAGAGGAGTTGAGAATTGGCGCCTAATGTGTTGAAATTATTTCAGAATTGTACAGTGATTGCTACCGTGGATGCAGGTATATAAAGACTTCTTAGGCTAATGAACAGTATGTGCACCAATGAGCAAAATAGAATGTGGTAGTGGAATCAGTGTGAAATGAACTTGGTATTGACCTCAGAATTCCATCAATTGTTTAAAGTAGTTTAAATTTCATTATTTAAAGTTGTATGGTAAAACAAGAAGTGCAAATTATCTAGCTGCCACGTGCAAATAGATTTTAAAAGAGTGTGTGTGTGTGTATGTATGTGCGTGTGTAAAATCTCTCCATCCTCACCTTCAGGCTTCATATATTTTGTGTAAGACATTTTGTAACTCCAGCTGCCACGGAGACTAGGAACAGAACAACCGAAAGGATTATTGGTCATTATTAGGTCTCTGGCTGAGTCTAGAAAACATTAATTAACAGCAGAGCCAGTTGACACCACTATGTACTTTGCTCCAGCAGAGCTTGACAGTTGTGATGCAGAAAAAGAGATGGCTGAATTAATCCCGGCTTGGATTAGGTAGAACAAGAAGGGAGGGATAGACAAGAAGGTAATATAGGAGGCTGATTAGAGTGCAGTCGAATGCATTCTTTGTGGGGGTCAAGCTAGCTAGAGAAGGAAGAGATGAGGAAGGGGCTTAGGCGTTCATGGAAGATGGTTTTGCTTATTAATTTGCTAGTTAAATATGTGAAAAGCTGGGCTTCTTTGTTACAGGACTTACTTTGGCCTTTAATATGCCAAATTAAATTTTGGGTCTGAAAATGGAAATTATACTACATTACACTAACTTATTTGACTCTAGGATTGAAGCATCTTTAACATCTCCTGAGATGCTCACGTTGAGCAGAACACTTTTGTGTGTGCAGGTTCCTGCAGAACAGAGATACTGTCACAATTGTCTTTTAGCATATGGTGTTTAGGGGCTCGATGAACGACTATTGAATTGTAATGAATTGTGAATTAGAGGCTTTTTAAAGCATTTGTCAGAGCCTAACAATTACATAGGCTTTTATTTTGTATTGGAAAAAGCATGGATGTTCCATGCAAGTGATTTATTCAGTAACTTTGGGGAGACAGTTCAAGTTCAGTAACTTGAACTTCCTGGCACTTTGTTGAGTATTGTCATAATTATTTCAAAGCAAGAATAATAAAGTATTACCTGAATATGACCTAGCCTTTTTAGAAAATTTATTTCTGAAATCCAAAAATGTTATTTTTAAATAGGGTTTTTATACCTCTGTGTTTTAACCCAGTATCGACACTAAGGTAAGCAGAAATACAGATTTAAAAAAGTGTTTCTTGACAATTTATTTTATACTTTGGAGAGCATGTTTAATCAATATTTTCTGTGTAAATCAAATCTGGGTAGTAAAGCATCTGTTATTAAGGAAAAACAGTTAACTGTGTCCCAGTTTAAAATTTTATAGAAAAGTGAATTGAAGGAGCTCTTACTTACAATAATTAGTATAAATTTCTTAACTCTTTCATTTTATTACAATATCAATTTTACTTTATGGCAATGAATAACTGATAAAACCTCAAATCTGGGTAGTAAAGCATCTGTTATTAAGGAAAAACAATTGACTGTGTCCCAGGTAACTATAAAATTTTAAACTGTAAAATGGAGCAGGTGCTATATATCCACAATAATAGTGGAAATCATCCTCTTGCATCTCCTTCAGGAGTAGAAGGATGTCTTTTATTGGAAGCATCAGATCTTCCAAAATTATGGTTCAGTGTCAGTCATTTTATAGAGCAGTTAAATGAGTAGCTACTCAGTCAATGAGCCATTCAGAATTAATGTAGTTGGTTTATGTACTATTTTCTAAAAAAGGAAAAGCCTTGAATATCTAAGGAATTTTAGACATGGTACTGAAACAGTCCCTCTCCTTTGTCCTTCATGAAAATCAGAAACATTATTTCGTCATTAAAAATCTGGTGGGTGACAGCTCCATGTTCATAAATGACCTCAAATACCATTCATTTGTTTCTAATAGGATATGCGAGCAACTCTCATGGTTCTTTATTTGCCACTTTTTATAGTTGATTTTATTTTTCATTTTGAAGTCAATTTCTGGATTTCATTTCCTTATTTTAAAGTCCTTTAAACATAAATTTAAGTTGTAGTATATTTATGTTTTGGTTTTTGGTTGGGTTTTGTTTTGGTTTTTGCCTTTCATCCATTTTGTTTTGGTTTTTGTTTTTAACATTCCATGTGCACCCACCATTTTTCCCCCCACAGTGACCTACCTCAGGATCTTTGTCCTCTGTACAGGCCTGGAGAATGGGAAGACCTGGCTTCAGAAAAGGATATCAACCCATTCAGTAAGTTTAAATCTCTCAACAAAGAAAAACGGCAGCAGAATGGAGAGAGAACCATCACTTCAGATTCCAAATCAACAAGACCTTTGGAGAAGTCAACAGAATACACAGAAAAGAAACCCTCAGACAGCTCTGTGTCAGACAAGTTAAAGAAACTGGAATTCTCTGCAGAGGCAATCAAACGGTCTGCCGCAGTAGCTAAAGTCAGCAAGGAACTTTCTGACACTCAGGCTGCGTTTGAATCTATAGCCAAAGAAAATTCTCTCTTAGGAGAGGAAGATGACTTCGTTGACTTGGAAGAACTTTCTTCTCAAAATGATAGTGGAATGGACAAAAGAGACACCTCAAAGGAGTGCCTTTCTCTTGACCCAGCGGAGCTAAGGAAGACTAAATCACAAATAATCAGTTCTACTACGGAAATGCAGGTGCAGTCAGCCCTGAACTTTACAGAAACAGAGTGTGATGCTGAATTGAAGGGGACCCTAGATTTAGAAACCTGTGAGAAGCAAGATATAATGCCAGAGGTGGACAAGCAGTCTGGTTCCCCAGAAAGCCAGGTGGAAAACACATTGAACATACATGAAGATCTAGATAAAGTTAAACTCATTGAATATTACCTTAATAAGAACAAAGAAGGGTCACAGTTACCTGATAACTTGCAGAAGGCAGAATTAAGTGATGACAAAAGTATTGAGCCAGTGGGAATAGACATCACTCTTAGTAGTTCTCTTCCCCAGGCAGGTGATCCCCCAATTGAGGGCAATGAACAGCCAGATAAAACCTGGGTGAAAGAGAGAGCACCCCTTCCATTGCAACTAGGCTCTTCTACAGAAGAAAATATGAATAAAGTGTATCCAGACTCCTCTTTGGAATCTACTCTGGACAACAGCTGCCAAGGTGCACAAATGGATAATAAATCTGAAATTCAGTTATGGCTATTAAAGAGAATTCAGGTACCCATTGAAGGTAAGCTATTTTTAATTTCTTTATATTCTGTTGTATAGGCATATCTTGTTTTATTGTGCTTCACAGATATTGCATTTCTTTTTCTTTTTTTCTTTTTTTTTTTTTTTTTTTACAAATTGAAGATTGTGGCAACCCTGTGTCAAGCAAGTCTATGGGCACCTTGTTTCCAACAGTATTTGCCCACTTCATGTCTCTGTGTCACATTTTGGTAATTCTTGCAATATTTCAGACTTCATTTCATTATTATGGTGATCTGTGATCAGTGATCTTTGATATTACTGCTGTAGCTCACTGAAGGCTCAGATGATGGTTGGCATTTTTTAACAATAAGGGATTCTTTAAGATGTACTTTTTTAGACATAATGCTATTGCACACTTAACAGACTACAGTATAGTATAAACATAACTTTTATATGCACTGGGAAACCCAAAAATTTGTGTTACTTACTAGATTGCGATATTCACTTTATTGTGATGGTCTGGAACCAAACCCACAAATTATCTCTAAGGTATGCCTGTATAGCTACCTTCCTAAAACTTGTACATGCAATAGCAAAAGTAGTATAATTATTTGAGAACATTTTCAATAGGGTATATCTTTACATTACATTAGAAGGTTTTGAACTGCATAGGTCCACTTATACACAGATTTTTTTCAATAAATACGAAATACAGTACTATGCCATCCATGGTTGGTTGAATCCATGGAGGGCCAACTCTAAAGTTATACACAGATTTTTAACTGCACAGGTGTCAGCGCCTTTAAACCCTGTTTTGTTCAGGGCTCAACTGTAACTGGGAAAAATTAGCAATATATGCTATCTATTTTGAACATTAAACTGTGACATAGAATTCTATTTCAAAAGTAGTTCGCTTTTTTACATCTTTCAGGTAACTTTCCTTTTTCACTTTGAATTTCTAAATCTAAAGGAGTTTTAAAAGGTTTTTGAAGGTATTTCAGTTCTAAACTGAATTGCGTTATGGTATGGTTGGGTCCTCAGTACCGTTCGTTAATATGTATTCTTGTGGGTTGTCACAATTCTCCACCCTTTGCTGTTTTGTGTGTTGGTTTTTATCCTTATTCCTAGTTTGTAGCATCTCATGTGATGTAGACAAACCTGAAACATCCAAAGCTTTTTCCTTTTGTGCTAAAGAAGATCTGAAAAATTCAATTACTCCTAATATGACGATGCTGTACGATGTTTATGCCAACTATCACCAATATCGTCAATAATGAGGAAATTTTTTTCATGTGTGATTCAGATATACTTCCTTCAAAAGAAGAGAAAAGCAAGACTCCACCCATGTTTCTGTGCATTAAAGTGGGAAAACCAATGAGAAAGTCCTTTGCCACTCACACTGCAGCCATGGTCCAGCAGTATGGCAAACGAAGAAAGCAACCAGAGTACTGGTTTGCTGTCCCTCGGGAGAGGTGAGTGTGAGCTAGAATGGGAAATCTGTTGGTCAAGTAGATTCTAATTGCATCTTGATTTTTAATTTAATCTTGAAATAATTTTATTCTTGAATAATAGGTTTCTCTTAATTGTACATTTTAGAATTTCTAGAAGGATATTATTTCAGTAGCTTTCTGCTAAAGAGTGTTTTCAATATAGCAAATTTGAGATCATCCTATGTACTGTGTGCCGAACCACTTTCAAAACTTTCTACTCAGTTGAATTTTAAATGAAGGAAGACTGAGATATTCTAAAGTGCCAGTAATTGCAATTGCTATTCTGTTGGGAATAAAGGAATATGATGGAGCAGATCCAAATCCCAAGTGCAATAGAGAGGCATGATTTTAATTTTAAAGTGCCTGTTATTCTGGGGGGACTAAAGATTGCTTTCGCCTTATGGAGAAAAGTATCTGTGAGTCAGCAGTGTGATAAGTGTAACATGAGATCACCTGGGTGTGCTCAAGGGGCTATATACCTCTAAAGAGATTTGTATTTTTAAATTGCCAAAGAAGAAAATTTATTGGTGATGTGACAGTGTAGGATAGCAGGGATAGTGACATAGACATTCTTCAGCAGTACGTCACTGAAGACATCTTTATAATAGAAATATTTAGGAAACATTATTTTTAGAAAAAATTGTTTTTCTTTTGTATGTAATAGAATAAAAATTTCTTTACAAAGGCCTTGAATTCGTTTTTAAAATTGTTAAATCCACACATTTTTCCTTCTCCTAACTAGTCATCAAGGCATACTTTTTGGCTAACATACCTACCAAGAACAAATACTCACTGAGCTTCCATAAGCATGAATTTTTTTTTTTCTTTTTTAATGAACTTCCCCCCTGGTATCTCAGTAGTGAAGAGGTCATTTCATTTATTTATTTGGCTGCACTGTGTGGCTTGTGGGATCTTAGTTCCTCAACCAGGGATTGAACCTGGGCCCATGGCAGTGAAAGCACCGAGTCTTAACCACTGGACCACGAGGGAACTCCAAAGCATGAATTTTTAATAAAGCAAAATTAAGTTTCAAGCACGAGCACACCTTCTGGCTGATTAGTACCCAGAATGGTAATTCTCATCGAGTTGCCTGATTTTAATAAATCATAGTTTAATGTGAAGATAATTAATAGGATTTTAATGAATAAATTTGTTAATATTTTTTCTGGCTTAGACACAGACCCATGTTTACCTAGATGTTAAACATAATCTGTTTCCTATTTACAAAATACACTCCTGTCCTGTGCTTGCAGCCCCAATGCTATCTGCACGAAACTTTAAACTAGGGACACTGAGGAGATACAAAGAAGATGTGTGTCTTTCACATTTCTTCTGTTGAAATATTTTTAAATAATAAATTTCTGAAATCCTGTTAAAATCAGAGTTCTGGAATCAGATGTCATAGATGGACAGACTGATTTTAAAGGTGGGGAAAACAAAGCACTGAAACTTTCAGCCACGTTTAGGTTATGTGGATTCCTCATCCGTCAGGAAAACTACCTATCATATGTTTTTTCTCTGAAGAAATGTATTGTTTATAATATAAGGACATTAGGATTTTTCAATTTTATTATCTTTAAGGAGACTTGTGCATACCAAGGAATCTTCTAGAGTAAATTTTTTGCAGTCTCACACATGTAGTTATTTTACTGTCATTCTTTAACCCAGAATAAGTCTGTAATGCTGAAATAGTACTTCTCTTTGACCTCATACAGAGGTGGTTTTTGTGAGCTTTTTAAAGTAGGTCACTTGTTGAATTCTATTACATTGTGTTTTATAGTGTCCATGATTTATTTGTCTTTGGCTAACAAATAACCTGACATTCTTAGTTTTCTTTCTTAAGCTAATCATTAATTAACCAAAGATTTTTCTGGGAGACATTATCTTACTGTGTTAATGATTTTTTGTATAGATGTTAGGAATTTTTTTTCTGTTGTTCCTTTATGTATTTCCATCTCTACCTACCCTTAATAAGCTACATT